GTTCACTTTCACTTAGTGAGGCACGACCCATTACGTGAGCCGTGCGCACTTTTCCGCGCACCGCCAACCTTACTCTCACACACATAACACTCTTGAACATGGTATAAATACCTACAATTTGAAGATTAAGACGTGTGGAACAGTTGGTATCAGTCTCCCAGGGACTGACCACCTCAAATACTGTCTCTGTATTTGACTGAAGAATCCTACTATGTAGGGGAAACCTGTATATGTATACACACACACAACTGTTGCAAATGTGTTGTATTCTGCAATCCACAACACTGCCCACACCCACAACATTGCCTACACACACACAACACTGCCCACACACACACCAACACTGCCCCACACACAAACACTGCCCACACACACAACACTGCCCACACACACACAACAACACTGCCCACACACACAACACTGGGCCCACACAAAACAACACTGCCCACACACACACAACACTGCCCACACACACAACATTGCCTACACACACAACAACATTGCCTACACACACAACACTGCCCACACACACAACACTGCCCACATCCCCAAAATTGCCTACACACACAACACTGCCTACACACACAACACTGCCCACACACAAACACGCCTACACACCCCAACCCCTGCCCACACACACAAAACTGCCCCCACACACACACAACACTGCCCACACACACAACACTGCCCACCACACAACACTGCCCACACACAAACACTTGCCTACCACCAACAATGCCCCACACACACACAACACTGCCCACACACACAACACTGCCCACACACACAACACTGCCCACACACACAACACTGCCCACAACACACAACACTGCCCACACACACACAACACTGCCCACCCCACACACAACACTGCCCACACACACACAACACTGCCCACACACACAACACTGCCTACACACAACACTGCCCACACACACAACACTGCCCACCACCCACAACATTGCCTACACACACAACACTGCCTACACACACAACACTGCCCACACACACAACACTGCCCACACACACACAACACTGCCCACACACACAACACTGCCACACACACAACACTGCCCACAACACACACAACACTGCCCACACACACACAACACTGCCCACACACACACAACACTGCCCACACACACACAACACTGCCCACACACACACAACACTGCCCCAAACACCCCAAACACTGCCCAAACACACACAACAATGCCCACAACACACAACACTGCCCCACACACACACAACACTGCCCACACCACACAACACTGCCCCCAACAACACAACACTGCCCACACAACAACACTGCCCACACACACACAACACTGCCCACACACACACAACACTGCCCACACACACACAACACTGCCCACACACACACAACACTGCCCACACACACACAACACTGCCCACACACACAAACACTGCCCCAAACACACAAAAACACTGCCCACACACACACAACAACTGCCCACACACACACAACACTGCCCACACACACACAACACTGCCCACACACACACAACACTGCCCACACACACAACACTGCCCACACAACCCCAAAACAACACTGCCCACACACACACAACACTGCCCACCACAACACAACACTGCCCATACACACACAACACTGCCCACACACACACAACACTGCCCACCCCACACACACTGCCCCACACCAACACTGCCCACACACACAAACATTGCCATAACACAACAACACTGGCCCACACCCCCAACATTTCCTCACACACAACACACGCCCACACACACAACAAACTGCCCACACACACACAAAAACTGCCCATACACACACAACACTGCCCACACACACACAACACTGCCCATTACACACACCACTGCCACACACAAAACACTGCCACACACACAACATGCCCACACACACAAACTGCCCACACACACAACAAATTGGCCTACACACACACAACATTGCCTACACACACAACACTGCTACACACACAACACGCCACACAACAAAACCTGCCACACACACAACACTGCCCACACACACAAACTGCCCACCACACACAACACTGCCCAACACACACAAAAACTGCCCACACACACACAACACTGCCCACAAACCCCACCCCAACACTGCCCACACACACACAACACTGCCCACACACACAACACTGCCCAACACAACAACACTGCCCACACACACACAACACTGCCCACACACAACACAAAAACTGCCCACCACCACAACACTGCCCACACACACACAACACTGCCCCAAAACACACAACACTGCCCACACACACACAACACTGCCCACACACACACACAAAACCTGCCCACACACACACAACACTGCCCACACACACAACAAACCACTGCCCACACACCACAACACTGCCCACACACACAACACTGCCCACACCACAAAACTGCCCACACACACAACACTGCCCACACCACACAACACTGCCCACACACACACAACACTGCCCACAAACAACATTGCCTCAACAACAACACTGCCCACAACAATTGCCTACACATACAACACTGCCTACACATACAACACTTTCCACACACACAACACTGCCTACCACACAACACTGCCCACAACCCACAACACTGCCCCCACACACAAAAACTGCCCACACACACAAACACTGCCCACACACACAACACTGCCCACACACACACAACACTGCCTACACACACAACACTGCCCACACACCAACACTGCCCACAAAACTACAACACTGCCCACAAACACAACTCATGCCCACAAAACACACAACACTCCCACACACACAACACTGGGCCCCCACACACAACACTGCCCACAAACACACACAACACTGCCCACACACACAAAAACTGCCCACACACACAACACTGCCCACACACACAACACTGCCCACACACACAACACTGCCCACACACACACAACACTGCCCACACAACACAACACTGCCACACACACAACACTGCCCACACACACAAAAAATGCCCACACACACAACACTGCCCCACACCACACACAAAACTGCCCACAACACAACATGCCCCACACACACAACACTGCCCACACAAAACAACACTGCCCACACACACAACACTGCCCACACACACAACACTGCCCACCACACAACACTGCCCCACACACAAACACTGCCTCACAACACAACAACACTGCCCACCACACACAACACTGCCCACACAAAAACAACTGCCCACCACACCAACACTGCCCACCACACCAACATGCCCACCAACACACAAACAAATGCCCACACACACACAACACTGCCCACCCCACAACAAACCCACCTACACACACACAACACCTACACACACACACAACACTGCACCACACAACACTACCTACACACAACAACACTGCCTACACACACACACAACACTGTCTACAACATCACACAACACTACCTACACACACACAACACTACCTACACACACACACAACACTGTCTACACCACAAAAAAACACTAACCTAACACCAAACAAACACTACCTACACACAACACACTGTCACACACCACACAACACTACCTACACACAACAAAAACTTACCTACACACACACACAACCTGTCTACACACACACCCCAACACTACCTACACATACAACACTCCTACACACACACAACACTGCCCACACACACACACAACACTACCTACACACAACAACACTACCTACACACCAACAACACTGCCTTACACACACACACAACACTGCCTACACACACACAACACTGCCTAAAACCACACACACAACACTACCTACACCCCACACAACACTACCTACACACACACAACACTACCTACCACACACAACACTCCTACACACACACACACAACATACCTACACACCACAACACTACCTACCACACACAACACTACCTACACACACACAACACTACCTACAAACACACAACACTATACCCCACACAAAACACTACCAAAACACACACAACACTACCTACCACACACAACAACACTACCTACCCCACACAACACTACCTACACACACACAACATACCTCCGCACACACAACACTACCTTTCGCAACACACAACACTACCTACGCACACACAACACTACCTACCACACACACACTACCTAGACACACAACATACCTACACAACCATCCACAAGCTGATTTCCTTATTGGACCGATTTAAACATTACTACACGAGGGCATTAACCAGTACCTTGCACAAGCAGAAATAAATTTTCCTAAAATAGGATTTAAATAGACCAGACTAACACACGGATTACACAGAACATACACCTCTCAGTGTTCCTTCTGAGAACTATACAATTACAGTGTTACATGAGAACTATCACCTCTCAGTGCATACACGAGGGAACTATACACCTCATGTACATACACTGAGAATACACCTCTCAGGTTACAAAAGAGAATTTTACACCTTCAGTGTAATACACTGAGAACTATTTCACCTCTGTGTAATTACATGAGAACATACACCTCTCATTGTACATACACGAGAACATCACCTTCGTGTACATAAGTGTACTACAGTGTACTTTCAGTGAACATACAGTGTACATACAGTGTACATACAGTGTACATACAGTGTACATACAGTGTACATACAGTGTACATACAGTGTACATACAGTGTACATACAGTGTACATACAGTGTACATACAGTGTACATACAGTGTACATACAGTGTACATACAGTGTACATACAGTGTACGGGCGCAAGAACTCAATAAACGTCTGGACCAGATAAACACAACACAACGTCAGTACAACAGTCAAATATTAATGTACACCTGAGTGTACCAGAACAACAGTGTTGTGTTTAGTGTTACTTATCATGATCAGGAACAATTAAATCTATCTGCCATCACTGCTACACTGATTACTAACAATTAAATATATCTACCATCACTGCTTCATTGAGTACTAACAATTATATATATCTACCATCACTGCTACACTGAGTACTAACAATTAAATGTCATCACTGCTACATTGAGTACTAACAATTAAAT